TATATTTTCCTTTGTCGAGTTTGTGATGTTGCCCCAACAGGGTATTCTATTTTCACACTTGAATTTACTGTATGGTCATGGTGTTTGCTTTATCTATAAATAAAACGGGGCGAAATCCTATTTCAAGAATTACAGGTTCTTATCTTCGAACACAGATTCAAATTTTGTGTGTAACGTACTCCCATCGTCCCATAATGTAAAACATTTTTTGACAGTAGTGGTCTTATATTATAGGACGGAGGGGGTATCATTTTTTTCAGGGGTTCACAATTTGTTTGGCTAGGTCCAAGTTTTGAACAACAAAACAAAAGTAAAGATGTTTGCATGGACGTAGAACATATATGATTACATTTACACGCTGCACAGAGCCGCATGGATACATGTAGGCCGGAATGTGTGCTTATTTACGTACGTACGTAACATTTGTAGACGTATAAATATTCAAACCACACAAACATAAACACATGCACGTACGTATGCATGTATGATCACACTCACACGCACGTACTACTTGGCTTCGGCGTCAAGGGTGAGGAACGCGAACGGGCGCTCGCCGTTGAAGTTGCCCGGGGGGTTGTAGTTGCAGGTGATGAAGACGCCCCGGTTCCCGGCGCAGACCACGCGCGCGCAGCCGATGCGGGTCGACTTGCGCCACACCACCTGCGTGTAGTGCCCGCACACCTTGCCGGCGTCGCAGGTGTTGCTGTCAAGATGGTAGTTCTGCTTCTCGTCCACCCACAGCTTCACCGCGTCGGCGGCCGTCCACGACTGCCCGGAACCCCAGAAGATGTTCTCGCCGAACGGCCCGCCGGAGTGCTGGAGCCGGCAATCGCCGGCGCGCTGCGCCGCCCAGTCCTGCGCAAACCTGGCCACGTTGTTGTCCCACGCCACCGGGCCGACACCGTCCACGGCGCGGGCGCGGTTGTGCAGGTTGACGAAGTCCTGCGGGGTGTTCTGCGCCGAGACGTCAGCCACCACGGCCATGACTATGGCCAGTGCGAACATTGCAAGACTGCTCTTGGAAGATGCCATGACTAGCTAGTAGGTGGCTCGAGATTGATGAAGAGTGCTGGAATTTGACCGGTATTTGTAGCCTGGGGACGTGGAAAGAATGCATGGCTATCTTCTTCTTTTTTGAACTGCATGGGTATCTATTTCAAGGATCCGCAAGAAGATGCCGGAAAAAATAATTAGATGCATGTATCACGAGTTCATGACTTGCTAGCTACAAGTGGGACAATTTCCTTTTATTTCCAGTACATATGCATACTACTTCTGACAACGAGTGGTTCAATGCGATTTCCCGATATACATTGGTCGATTTGTTTGGGCAGTTGGGTTTACAGTAATCTAGAACTAGATGTCTATATCATAACCTCATTGGGCGGGCGATGTTCAAAAGTGTATATCCACTTGGGCGGCTAGGGCAAGTGGCAAAATATGCTTGCGTCGTCGCTACTGCCTACTGTGGCTTATCGGTGGTTGTGGCTTTTTTTTCTCTCACGAATACAGAATAGACTTGTGTATTATTGTGTTGGTAGAAGAGGATTTATAGCAGTCATTATAAAAACAGCCTCGCAAGGACGAACACGCAGGCGGCATGCAAGGCATAGAAGAGCGCATGAGAAGGGCAAGCGCGGCCCAACTACTAAACCTACGTCTCGGTGATCAGCTAGCCAGGCGCCTTGGCCCCAGCGCGAGCCCAAGGTGTAGCGTCGTCTTTGACGTCGTTCGTGAGCCGCACAACCGAAGGTGGTTACGGCTTATCGAGCTCACATTTTCTTTTTCACGTGTGTGTTTCTGTTGGTTGTATATATTATAGTCATGCAGATGTCGAATGTGTAATTATGACACTCGTATTCTCTAGATACGACATTAAGTCAATACAAGCATCATATCTCTACCTAATATAAAAAGGACGATTGTTTCTCCACTATTTTTTGTCATCAGATCGGTTTTGTACGTCGTCCGTTCAAGAGGTGTTTCCGTTTTTGTTTAAAAAAGAAAAAAAAACTACGCTAATGTTGCCTCAAACCATGGTGGCCAGGAATTGACCTTAGCAGGTAACCAACTCACCCAACCAACAACTTTGGTTGAGCAAAGGAAACTTCTTCTATACTATAGGACAAGCGGATTTTCACTAAATAAATAAATTGAAAGGCAGACCGGACTGCTGCTCACTTTAAATGCAAAATACTAATCTCCGCACAATCGCTGCCCCATGCACGAAAAAAAAAGGATGCCCCATGCACGTAAAAAAAGGATGCGCCATGTGTACCGGATGCCCCATGGACCTAAAATAAAGGGCTGCCCCATGTGTGTGGCTGATTTAGTTGGGCCATGCATTACTGTTTTGTTTTGAATTTCTGATGGTTTTTTTAGAGGTAATGACTTCTGATGCTATAAGGGAAGTAATATAGATGCACATTTTCATCCTTCATAACAATGATTTTATTATGATATATATTTATTTTTGTTGATGGGAACCCTTGCTTCTGTTTTGAAAGTCAGAAAGCTTGAGGAGCTCTGCATTTGACCCTTGCGGCATCGGAATGTAGAGATGTGGAAACACTATAGGTGGACAATACGGCACGAAGGAGGAAAGCATTTTTGATTGATCTAATGTCTCCCTCGGGTCTGGTCGAACATACCGACATGCCGCATCATTTTTTTCAAGTTGAGAGATGATGGATAACTAACATCTGTGTTAATATTTTCATTAGTTTGTGCTATTTATCACGAAAAAAGTTAGCCTTTATTCATTAATTTCCCATAATAATTTTTTCATGAATGACAAGAAATGACCCAGTTGATAATGCGCTTTTGGTCGGATCCATAATGTGCAAAGGTTTAATGGGTTCATATGGATTTACTTAGAATCAACTCACATTGTGGAAGTTCATGTTTATTTTGAGTGAACTGTTTGTAAATTAATGAACGGATGAACCATGCATGGTAGACTTTTGAGCATGATGAGCTGCATTCGAAATTAGCCAATTGTCATCACAGATGGCTAGTCTTCATTTTCCCGCTTGGTATGGACGAATGCAATTTCCTTCCGGATGTACTATATGCTTGTGGACATGGGAAAATTGTGGATGAATATTCTCAGTCAAGCTTTGTGATTTGTGCCAACTCGTTCACTGAATACTGGTACATACTTATAGAACGCAAATATGTGTGACGTACTATCGCACACGATTCGACAAAAAAAAATCGTGTGCGATGAGCAATCCTTCGTGACATGGCCGCGATTGAAACCGTGAGATACACATAGGGGGGTAATTATGGGCGATATTGAAAATGCCTATGAGGTCAGTTAATGCATACAAGTTGCGTCAAGTTGGCTAAGAGAATACGACAACCATATTATGACACCATGCCAAATTTCAGATTTTTTGGACCATATTTTCAAAAATAAAATAAAATTCAATAAGTGTAACGGTTGTGGTCTGAGTGTTGGCACAAAATGGAAATCAGGATAAGGCAATATAGTGGGTCCTCATGATTCAATAAGAAAGTCATTACACAATCATGCTAGATGAATTGGGTCAATCAGCACAACTTCAATTCTCACACGTTACCCGGTGGCTAACCAGCTTTTGTTTGGAGTCAATACAATACAACGAAAATTTGCAGGGGCACACACATGTGGAAAGATATGTGCACGTGTCTTTCATAGAAATTCGTTGAAACATGGAAGGAAATTCTTAAATGTGTGAATACGAGACGATATACATGATTTTTCTGTACAAATATGTCCTTCACATGTACTTTTATGGCCGTGTCTCTTATGCTCCGTCACTCCGTTCTGTTTTAGCAGTTATTTCATACCCACTTCGTCTGAAAAAGTCTGTCCCTCAAATGGATGCATCTAACATCAACTTAGTACAAGATACATCCATTTGAAGAACAAGCTATTTCGAACGGAGGGAGCACTATTCATCTTCTTCCGCGTTCACATGTTCATCTACTGCTTGTCCATTCCTATACCCGTGTTTTCCTTTCAACCTTCTAATTTTCTTCATTCGCTATTGCTTCTTCTTCCATTTCATTTACTCCCTCCATTCCCTTATACAAGATCACTTGGTTTTTTGTGTCAAACTTTAACTTATAATCTGGGTCAACAAAATATGGATTAGATGTCATAAAACATATATCATTGCAAAGTTCTTTAAAATGTGCATCCAATGACATACTTTTTGTGGTATACTACCATTTCTATTGGTAAAAGTAACGGTCAAAGTTAGATATTAAAATATGAAGTGGCCTTGTATAAGGGAACAAATGGAGTATTTCCCCTTATTTTATTTATACTCATTAGTTCATCCTCTTATGTCCTTTCCCAAGTTCATTCCATCCCTTTCCATGAATACTATACATTGTGTTTTCGCTACTTTCTACCGCCTTGCGATGCATGCTATCATCTATGAGAAATCTATCTTTACATTCAAGAAAGCAGTACCCGTACGACCAAATATGAACTTATGAAACCGTCTGATGAGTTTGGTAAATAAGTAATTCTTTAACACATTTCGTTCTTCCAACTACAATGACTTCCCTAAGCTTTGATTTCATTTGGGCTCCTATGGTTAACTCTGTTTGTTCAATCAAGTTCTTTTAGAAGAAACTAGCAAAAGAGCCCGTGCGTTGCAACGGAAGAAAAAATAACACACGCTCTTAACCCAACAACCATCACTCAAGACAATAATAGGTCCATCTTTTTTATTTTAGCGAGGCATCATATTTGTGTTGCCTCTTATCCTCTTTCTCACCCTCGTCAGCGGTGGCTTCAGTGTTCACACAAACCAAAACATGTTTGAATGTGGTTAATCCTAATGCGTCTCTCCTCCCTCCCTCCC